AGCTAAGAGAGAAAGAAGGAAGGAAAGAAAGACCACAGTGGTGCCATGATCCAACAGAGGGGGGAACATTCCTAGGGCTACATAGTGGAGTGGGGGGGAGAGGGGGAAGGGAAGGGAGGTTGGGCGATAATTGGGAGGGGACAAGGGGTACAAAAGTAATTTCTGGTAATGGGTATGCCCCCAATGAATCTGGCCCTCACATCATGGACAGGAGGGGGAACAATCAGCTTTGTTTCTCATGAATATTCATAATAAAAATAAATAAATAAATAAAAGGACTAAGGCATTTTCTCCACTTCTTGCTAAACCTTCAAGTGGCCTGTGTTATGCTGATATTTCTGCAGGAGCCCCTATGGTCGGGGGGCAATTTTCACCTCCAATGAGCAGAGCTCCTTAAAGAACAGTTTTAAAACCCAGGAAATGTGGCTTCTTCTTTTCCTCCCCTACAAAGTGGTTCCAACTACTTAGGTTGAAAGTACTCAGATTCCTTCCACATTCTCTCTACGAGGTGAAAATAAGACGACGTCATCTCTACCTGGATTGGAATGACATTTTGCAGACAACACGGAAAACTGGCCGTCGTGTTTTAACAGCCGGAAATCACAGTCTCCTTCCACAGCCTGGAGAAAGAAGTCCACAGTGAGGGCCCCTGAGGACGGCTGGCCTTTCACTCCTCCCTTGGGAAGGGGTCCCTCAGGCATGCTTCTCAAAGGTGACCCTCACCCAAACCACCTTCACTAATACGTAATAGTGAAACATTACATTCTCTGCTTTCAGGGAGGGCTACAGCAAGAAAGTTGAACTGTTGTAAAAATCAGCCCCAGGGAGGGCGGCCTCCAATGGCAATTTTAGAAACGGCCCAGTGCCTAGCCGNAACCACCTTCACTAATACGTAATAGTGAAACATTACATTCTCTGCTTTCAGGGAGGGCTACGGCAAGAAAGTTGAACTGTTGTAAAAATCAGCCCCAGGGAGGGTGGCCTCCAATGGCAATTTTAGAAACGGCCCAGTGCCTAGCCGAGAAGGCAGGCCGGGAAGCCAAATGCCACGGGCCTGCTCTTTGCGGAACTGCGGGGGAACTGGCTGGGGCGCCACCCGCAGCCACTCGGGAAGGGCACTCACATGCTCCGCCAGCTGCCTCACGGTGCAGTTTGCCAAGGGGGTGGGGTCCAGCGCATGGCAGGTGGTCTCTAGCGTGTCTATTTCTAGCTCAAGCAGCTCTCCAGCGACGGACAGCTGTGGAGACACAGAATGAAGAAATGAGATCCTGTTCGGGCCGAAGCTTGAGCCCCCGTTGGGCTTGAACCCACCCCCGTTTTGGAGAGAGGGGTGAGGGAAAAGTCCTTCCTACGGTCACTCTGCAACTCCCCGTAGTTATGAACTGGCCTGTGGCCAGGACAAAGACCGGGCTTCTCTGGTCTTGCTCTGTTAATTGGGCAGCAATAAATGGTGCGTGCAAGGAAGAAAGGGGTGTGGGCTTGGACAAGTTGAAGGAGACACAGTCTTCACTCTGAGTTTCTATTTGGAAACTATAAATGAGTGCTGAAATATTTTTTGTTTTTTAAAATTCCACCCTTCAAGCAGTGCTTTGAAAAAGTCAGCTTTGGATTTTTCTCAGTCAAGCTGAA